AAGAGTCTACTTTGTAGACTCTTTCCTGTTAGTAAATCTGGAATCACGTCAGGCACATTTCTAGATGCAATGCCGGATATGTTCGCAAGGTGGCGCACAACCGCGGGCTTTGTCCTGTTGGCGGTTTTCTATTTGCATATGAGAATACTTATTTAAAATAAAAAGCATACCTACAGTTGTGTTCAAAATAAAAGCAGTGTGTTGAAAAAAAGTGAATAAAGCTTAAAATCCTTCTAATAGCTTTTATTTCCATACAGACAAATGCATTGGGAACACTACACATTCTATTCCAAATCAAAACATGAAGAAAAATATATCAAATTTGTGTTGTTCCTCTAAACAAATTGAAGAAAAGTGAATATTAGACTGTTCAAAAAAATAGCAGTGTTTGTATTCTTCTTCACAAACTCAAACATTCACTATATAAACTGAAAAATGTTTGAAGATTTTGCTTTCCTTTGAATCACTTAATTAATATTTAGTTGTATAAGCACTGTTTCTGAGAACTGCTGTACATCTGTGTTGCATGGAGTCAACCAACTTCTGGCACCTGTGAACAGGTATTCCAGCCCAGGATGATTGGACTACATTGCATAGTTCTTCTCTATTTCTTGGCTTTGCCTCAGAAACTGCATTTTTGATGTCACCCCACAAGTTTTTCTATTGGATGAAGATCCGGGGATTGGGCTGGCCACTCCATAACGTCAATCTTGTTGGTATGGAACCAAGATGTTGCACGTTTACTGATGTGTTTGCAGTCGTTGTCTTGTTGGAACACCCATTTCAAGGGCATTTCCTCTTCAGCATAAGGTAGCATGACCTCTTCAAGTATTCTGATGTATTCAAACTGAACCATGATCCCTGGTATGCGATAAATAGGCCCAACACCGTAGTATGAGAAACATCCCCATATCATGATGCTTGCGCAACCATGCTTCACTGTCTTCACAGTGTACTGTGGCTTGAATTCCGTGTTTGGGGGTCGTCTGACAAACTGTCTCCGGCCACTAGACCCAAAAAGAACAATCTTACTTTCGTAAGTCCACAAAATGTTGCGCCATTTCTCTTTAGGCCAGTCAATGTGCTCTTTGGCAAATTGTAACCTCTTCAGCACATGTCTTTTTTTCAACAGTGGAACTTTGCGGGGGCTTCTTGCAGATAGCTTGGCTTCACATAGGCGTCTTCTAATTGTAACAGTACTCACAGGTAACTTTAGACCTTCTTTGATCTTCCTGGAGCTGATTGTTGGCTGAGTCCTTGCCATTTTGGCTATTCTTCTATCCATTCGAATGGTAGTTTTTTTTCGCTTCTTCCACGTCTTTCAGGTTTTGGTTGCCATTTTAAAGCATTTGCGATCATTTTAGCTGAGCAGCCTATCATTTTCTGCACTTCTTTATATTTTTTCCCCTCTCCAATCAACTTTTTAATCAAGGTACGCTGTTCTTCTGAACAATGTCTGGAACGACCCATTTTCCTCAGAATTTCAGTGCAGAAGTGCAGAAATGCACTGTAACCAGCATGTACAGCATTTGCTGCCTTCCTTCCTTCAATAAGAGCAATAATTGCCACCTGTTTTTCAAAGAATGAATGACCTCACTAATAGAACTCCACACTGCTATTATTTTGAACATGCCCCTTTCAATTAGTGATTCAATTACACAGAATCAGCAGCATGCATGTCATGACTGTTGGGTCTGTTGGATTTCTATTACTCTACTACACCTGCTAGTAAATTATTTGCCATGTAGAAATATAATTTCTACCAAAAACAGCGATTGATCAGATTAGTGATGTCTAACTGCTATTATTTTGAATACAACTGTATATTATAATGTTTGTTTTTTTTGTTTTTTTGTTTTTTTGCTGTTTCTCCAAAAATGATCAGACAACTAATGCATTTCCTAATGAATGTCATACAATCTATTTTCAAATGTCAAACATTTTCACACTTTTATCTCAAATAATTTGAATGTCTAGTTCTAATTTCCCAATATAATTATATATCTTCCTTCTCTTTAATCATGTAACTATTCCACATCCGAGCTCAAACTCTGTCTCCTACAGTGGCTTAGTGGTTAGTACAGGACTTACAGCACTTGGGTCATGGGTTCTAATCCCAGTCATGGCTGACCTGTCTGGAATTTGCATGCTTTCTCTGCACGGGTGTATTTCTGCCAACACTCCAAAGACATGCTGTTAGGTTAATTGGGCCTAGTATATGTCTGAGTTTCAGGCCTTAGATTGTAAGCTCATTGACATTTGTGAATGCCCAAAATATGGAGATCAATTTCCAGGGTTCTCTCAGTGCCAGGACTATTGATCAATCAATGGGAGTGAATCTTACCTGCGTCCTGTTCTTCTGACAAGTTTGAAACTTTCAATTTTCCTTATGTTTGTATTTCATTACAACTTTGTTTATCTTCTCTTAGGCTACGTTCACACTAGCTTTGTCAGCAGGAGACAGACAGGCGTTTGGGAAGTGTTTTTAACGCTTCTCAAACGCCTTTGAAAATTCTGCACATTGCGTCGCAGCAAAACTGGCGCCTCATGTCGACTCAGGAGGAGTTGAAGCCTCTCATTCAAGTCTATGGTGCCGCTCCTCAAACGTTTGGCAGGCGTTTGTGAGGCATTTGTGGAGCGTTAATACCATTTAACTTCATTACAGGCATTTGTGGTGCAGTTTTCATGCTTGGCAAATGCCTATCAGATGCCTCAAAACCGTGCATAGGGCGTTTGGGGAGCATTTGAGGAGCGTTAAAAATCTCTTCCCAAACGCCTGTCAAACGCTATGGAAATAAAGTGTAAACGAGCCCTTAAACCTCTCTCCTTATACAACTTGACCCCCTCCCCACCCCCCCTGTCATCACCTGTTCCATCTGCAAATCTATGTATCACCGCCCCACTCTTTTTATTTAACTATTTATTTACTGATCTAGTTAATGTGTCTCATTTCCTATCACCTCCAGCTCAGATCTTGCATTATTATATGATTCCTGATTGTATCTCACCACTAAACGATTGAATTCACAATTCCTGGTCAGTCCAGTTCCCTGACCTATAATTACCTTTAGGGCCAGTTCACACTACATGTGTTTCAGTTGCTTTTTTGCATCCAAAACGCACAGAAAGAAGGTTATATGGTTGTCAATGTCATAGCTCACATCAGCGCTTGCAGTTCCAGTGCGTTGCAGGTACTGCCAAGAAAGTCGAACAGACTGCGTTGTTTATGCATAGAACTGTACTTGGACAAGGTAAAACGCCCTGGAACGCACTAAAACGCTTATGTCCCTAATTGAATTGAAGAAAAGGGGGAAAAAATTAACTGGAATGCATAAAAAAAATGCACTAGAACACATCAAAATTGCATCCAAAATGCACTGGAACACGTCCAAAAACGCATCCCAAAATGAAATGTACTGGAACATGTCAAAAACGCATCCAAAATGCACTGGAACACGTCAAAAACGCATCCAAAATGCACTGGAATACATCAAGCATGCATCCAAAATGCACTGGAACACGTCAAAAACGCATCCAAAATGCACTGGAGCACGCTAAACATGCATAAAAAAAGTGCATGCAAAAACACGTCTGGAACACATCTAGACTGTGTTTCTATAGTGTGAACTGACCCTTAGGACTTGTTCACACCATTTGTGGTTCAGAAACTCATGCAAGAGCACGCATTTTCCTGCACAGCAAAGAAATGCAATGCCCTCTGCAGATGTGCGCAGGTACATTGATGAAAACTTAATTGCACCTCCACACGTCTAGCAAACACAGAAGCATTCACAGCCACTAAAACGCATGGCACCACACCACTGTGCGGTTAGGTGCAACACACTTTTAAAATAATATGCCTACAGTATTTTTGCATCTTCCCACACGTTAGGCAGCCCATTGAAATTATTGAGCTGAGGAAAAAAAAGTAAAAAATGCCACATTTGCACAGGTCCTCTGGCCTGTACAGAATGAATGAGGGTGTTGTTCATGTGGCTTGAGCCACCTGTTACACTATGGGGACACAGCAGCTGTATGAACACAGGTTTTAATCTGACAGGTGTGAAGGCGTGGGGAAGTGGCCCTGAATGCTCACTATCTGTGTTCAGGGCTGTACACCTGCACCCATGTGCTTGTCAATTAGGACCTGCAGCATTTCCATTGTGTAACATAGGCTGCCTGCAAACGGCGATAGCCACAAAAACAAACCACTGTTTCCCACTCTACTGCCACAGCACCCATGTGAATGAGCCCCAAGACCTCAATTACACACACAGCTTTATTTATGAACTCAGTACAGTTTTATCACTTAGATTTCACAGGAATATGGTTGGGATTGTGTCCATCAGGGGCGGACTGACCATTTGGAAACTCGGGCACTGCCCGAGGGCCCGGGGTCAGTAAGGGGCCCTATGAGATGTCCCCTGGTACCTTTTTCATAGGCTTTTTGAGTTTGGGCAAGGACACAGGGGCCCCATGATCCACTATTGCCCGGGGGCCCCATGAGTTGTCAGTCCACCCCTGGTGTCCATTAATGTTTTTAGTGTATTTTTACCATAAATATAATTTGGATAATTTTCTCTGTCGGTGGGGGGGCTGTCAGGTATGATGTACGGGGCCCTCGTGATATCTAACAGTGGCCCTAGGTGTTTGTTTGTGTCTGTGCCACCTGTATAGTTAGGAAGAACAATAACTTCTTCTATAGAATACCTTGAACCTCTCCTATTTACCTCAAAGTATCTAGGAATTTGACATGTTTTCAACTGAAAATACAACAATTATTAGTAATGTTTCCCCGGCAAATGAGAATCAGCTCTTTGGTCGAGAACAGCAATCTCGCCATGTCCAGATGTGGTCTGGAATTCCACAAAAGAACAATTCACAAAGCTAAAAAATAGACTTGCAAATTACCACTAAACTCTCCTAACTACACTCCCATCCACTAACACTCCCCACTACCACTTCCGGGTGTGTGAAAACCAGGGGCGGACTGACAACTCATGGGGCCCCCGGGCAATAGGGGATCATGGGGTCCCTGTGTCCTTGCCCACACTCAAAAAAGCCTATAAAAAAGGTACCAGGGGCATTTCATGGGGCCCCTTACTGACCCCCGGGCCCTCGGGCAGTGCCCGAGTGCTCGAATGGTTAGTCCGCCCTTGGTGCAAATGTCCTTCCGCAAACGTGATGACGTATTTCAGGTATGACAGCTGCTCTAGCGCCTCCTCCAACAGCCGTTTTGGTGTTTATTTGTGCACCATAGCAATTTTCCACGCTGCTCCATTGTGTATGTGACATTCGCAAATATATGTTTGCAGTTCTATTGTGTGATTTGGAATTGGTGAATATATGTTTGCAGCTCTACTGTGTATATGACATTGGTGAATGTATGTTTTGCAGCTCTACTGTGTATATGACATTGGTGAAAATATGTTTGCAGCTCTTTTGTGTATATGACATTGGTGAATATAATGTTTTCTGATAAAGGCCCAAAGTCAACATAAATTGGGGGCCTAATTTATTACTGTTAAGAGGATTGTAGAAAAAAGAATAGCTATCTGCACATTGAACACGACCTATTCATTGGTACATAACATTGTCTTGTGGTGCAATAGGGGGCTTTTGGTTTGTTAGTTCGGAAATACTTGCATATGTGCACTCTAACAAGCTAGATTTGGGAATATTATATAGCTCACAAAATATGTGTTAGGGGTGCTAGTATATTGAACTTGAACATGAAATAACCCCCCAAAAATATACATAGTCCAAACCTTTATTGATCAAATACATATTCCACATTTATTTGGACAGCAGCAACAAGTAGGTAGTCAATTTCTTGGTGGAAAAAAAAAAGCAGGATTGATGTTGCTAAAATAGAATGGTCCTGCTCATAAGAGCTTACAATCAAAAAGATTATACTTCTAATGAACTGTGCTTTCACAGGTTACAGCAGGAAACAAACAGTTAATATGAATCACTTAGTAGGCTTATCCACGAAACAGGCTGCAGATCAAAATATCAATATAAAAAATACATACGTGCCAAAATAAAACACCTCCCCAAATCCCCCACACATACATTTCTCATCAGGTTTGTCTGAAAACTGCATTTCAGTCTAAATAAGCAAGCAAACTATACCCAAGTGTGTAGATTTGGAAGAACAGAGAAACTGATGTGTTAGGATTACAATGCAAAGATAATAAACACAATCATTGTACTATAACACACAAAACACACTTTAGAAGGAAAAAAATGCAAAACATTTACAGCCCACATCAAAACACAGCGTGAGTGTGGTCTGGGGCAATTCACCACAATATCTCTTCCTCCCCCAAACCATCACAGACAAGGACTTGCTGAAAATAACCTGGCCTCTTACAAGGAATAATTACCCACTAACTGCAACTCTTTATATAACATAGACCACACCCACCACTGTCATTCATTTGGTCAGAGAAAGTGTTTGCACCTGATGAATCCTATTCCCACCTGCGTTAACTCTTGGTATACAGGCCCCACAAATCAGAGTCAGAAAGAAAGCGACAGTGAAGTGTACCTGTGCAGCATACAACAGAACATTGAACAGGGATGTAAAAGGGAACCCTATCGGCAATATTTCTTGGCCCTATGGCACAATTCACTCCAGATTATCACATGAGTTAAGGAAGTCACATGACCACATCTCGCATGCAATACTGAAAATGTCAATTCACTTTTGCTAGTATGCAGGATTTCCCATAAATTGGAAAAAAACACTCAGGAAATCAAACATAAAAAAGGCCTTACACCCCGTCACATCAAAGCCGATTTAGAAATCGTGAGACTTACAGTGAAGATGCTGATTTCCTTGTGATTTGCAAGACATCTGACACAGATATCTATGCAAATCGCCACAAAAGTAGTACATGTACTACTTTAGAAATCAGTGTTGGAAACGCACCCATGTGACTTGCTCTAATAGACAATAGGGTGCGTCTTGGCATCCGATTTGCAAGTCGCAATGTCATGCAAATCACATGCCAAGTCGCACTCAATGTGACCGCTATTAGAACATTCATATTTGTGTGGTTCAAACTTGGTTGGAGCCGCAACAATTTCTAAAGTAATGAATACACTACTTTTCATGCGATTTGCAGAGAGATCTGTGTCAGATGTCTTGCAAATCGCACTTTAAATCAGCTTGTCCCCCGACTTTGAAATCATGCGACTTCACTGTAAGTCACATGACGTGACCGTAGTGTAAGTCGCACCACTTCAAAATCTGCTTTGATGTAACCGGGGTGGCCCCCAATCACATCGGGTGCAATTTGGCATGCGATTTGCATGCCAGACAACTTGCAAATCGTAGGCCAAGTCGCACCCTATTATCCACTATAGGCTCCATTCACATCCAGTCTGATTTTGAAATCGTGCGACTTCACTGTAAGTTGCCCAGTTTCCAAATCGGATTAGATGTGACTGTGGTGTTAGCCCCCAGTCACATTGGGTGCAATTTGGCATGCGATTTGCAAGTCGCAGGGCATGCAAATCGCATGCCAAGTCACATCCAGGGTGCGCGATTTTAGGTGCGATTTGAGAATTGAAATTGTACCTGATATCGGATCTAATGAATGTGGATGTGAGTGTTTTAACATAATCGATTTGCTGCAGCACAATTTCAAAAGTAGTTCTTGTCTAACTTCTTCAGCATTTTGTAGCGATTTCACATATAGACTACAATAGAAATCGCAATGCAAAACACAATTGAAAATGCAATAACTCATTGGTAAATCTACAGAAAACACTGTGAAATTGGCAACAAAAAGCAGAATTTTAAATCGCATCTAGTGTGAACCAAGCAGGCAATTCAACAAAGGAAATAAATCTTTGAAGGCATGCGGAATCTGCATGCTCAGATAAGGGTCTGTTATGGATTTGGAGGGGGACTCCATGCCATTATTGTATCCATTTTTTTTTTAAATCATTTTCTCTCTCAGCTGTTGGCTTGACAAATCCTTCCCAAAAGGGGGGTGGAGTGCAAACCAGCATTATCAAATCAATCATTTGTCCAGGCCCTTATCTCATCCCATCAGTTGACATTCACATTAGGCGCAGCTTTAAAGGTGTTTGAACAGACAAGGGCTTATTCTAATTCACATACTAGGGATCATTTAGACAGAAAGCAAAGATGCTACCACCAGCACATCTATGTTAGGGTAGCCACCCAGGGAGATCATGCAACTTCATTGCCATGGTTGGGATTCAAACCAACAACCCTAGCACTGTGAGGCAGCAGTGCTAAACCACTACTCCACAAAGCTATTGAACACTAATCCCACCTGTATTTCTGTGGTGTAAATCAATCCTAGGTCCCTGGGCAAGGTGAGTGTAACTAGCCAGATATCTCAAATGTGACACAAATGTTGTACTATGTTGCCAATTCAGATGTATGTTGGTTCTATGTATCCCAATACAAAGGATTGCAATACTAATACAGACGTACCTCGGTTTCCCAAAGCCTCAGGTAATGGAATTTTTGGTTTACGAATGAAAATCCATTGAAAATAATGCCTCGGTTTACACAATTGTTAATATTTTTTTGGCAATACAAACTGTATGTCAGCTCTGATTTTTAATTCAAATGCCAGCCTTTTTTTTTCTTCACTATCGTTCACAAGCTTATCTATCACTTTCCCCAAAGTTACAGAAAACTTTGTATCTTTTAATAAACTAAAAGTAAACATTGTTTCCTTTAGGGATATAAACTCAAAGAAAAACTTTCTCTTTTAGCTGGGGGAAGTGACAGCTGAATTTCTGAGCTATAGTGAAGAAAAAAAAAGCGAGAATTACATTTAAAAACCGACAGCATAATAAATAAAAAAAGGCGTGGGGTCCCCCCTTCCATCCACACCAAGCCCTTCGGGTGTGGTTTGGATTTAGAGGGAAACTTCCATGCCAAAATTTAAAAAAAATGGCGTGGGCCCCCCAAAATCCATACCAGACCCTTATCCGAACATGCAGCCTGGCAGGTCAGGAAAGGGGGGGGGGGACGAGCGAGCGCCCCCCCTCCTGAACCATACCAGGCCACATGCCTTCAACATGGGCAGGGGGGTGCTTTGGGGCAGGGCCTCTTCCCCACAACCCTGGCGGTGGTTGTGGGGGTCTGCGGGCGGGGGGCTTATCAGAATCTGGAAGCCCCCTTTTAACAAGGGGGCCCCCAGATCCCAGCCCCCCCCCCTACATGAATGAGTATGGGGTACATGGTACTGCTACTAATTCACAAAAAACAAAAAAAGTAGTGTAAAAAAACAACAGAACACGGTCTTTAACAAGTCCTTTAATAAAAGAAAAATCTAAAAGAATGTCCCCCGAAGTAGATCCCACGCCGGCGACCCGAAAAAAAAAAAAAAGGTTCCTTTCCCGACGATGGCTGCCCAGCCTTCTGCTGTGAGCTTGCTTGACAGCTCTTAAATATGTAAGGGGCAGGGCCATCAGGGGACATCATCCAAGTGACCCCGCCCCATGTGACATCATTGATGTCACATGGGGTGGGATCCCATGCGTGATGTCCCTGGCTGGCCCCGCCCCTTACATATTTAAGACTGTCAACCCAGCCAACAGCAGTGTGCTGGATGCCATCGTCAGGAACAGAACCTTTTTTTTTCTCTTTTTTTGGGTCGACGCCTTTATACCGTGATTGACGTTGGATCTACTTTGGGGGACATTCTTTTAGATGTTTCTTTTATTAAAGGACTTGTCAAAGACCGTGTCCTGTCTTTTTTTACACTACACTTTTTGTTTTTTTGTGAATTAGCCCCCCACCTGCAAACCCCCACAACCACCGCCAGGGTTGTGGGGAAGAGGCCCTTGTCCCCATCAACATGGGGACAAGGTGCTTTGGGGGGGAGCCCCCCTGCTCCAAAGCAATCCCCCCTGTTGAGGGCATGTGGCCTGGTATGGTTCAGGAGGGGGGGGGCACTTGCTCGTCCCTCCTCCTTTCCTGACCTGCTGGGCTGCATGCTCAGATAAGGGTCTGGTATGGATTTTGGGGGGGGCCCCACAACATTTTTTTTTTTACATTTTTTTAATTGCTGACCTTTATTTTTAGATTCAGCTGTCAAAATATATATTATCTAGACCTTGGAAATATGTAAAACCATTACATAAATAATTATAAAGGATAAGAAACAAAAACAGAATCAATAGAACTAGGGAAATCAAA